CAACTGGGAGATTAAATCAATGTACATGCATCAATCGAAACAAAAGACGTGAAGCTTTGACCCAAAACAACGATGCGAAGATACTCAACGGAGTTTGGTGACCGAATATCGTAGAAAGCAACAATAGAAGGGTAGTAAAAGTAAAGAAGCAAGGAGAACACCATAGGACATTACAGAAATAAAATGGTGGTCGTTGACCGGACGATGTATGCATCAAGGAAGATAGCTAGGATGGGCCGAAGCAGGATTACAACAGACAACAAGAAAGCATTAGGTTGATTACCAGTAGAGAACAGTTGATCCATAGGAAGTCCATCGAGAAATTTCGGCCAATTGTAAGGTGGAATCGTGGTCGTCAAGAATAGTCAAAGGGAGAACCTTATAGATCAAGGTACATAAGTGAGAAGTGAATATGAGAACCTAGATAACTACATCGAGAACAAGGGACCTCTAGAACTAGCGAGTAACATCAAGGAGAAGAGTCACGAGTAAAGAAGTAATAGGGATATGAATTTAATTAGGGAATCTTATAGGGTACCCAAGTGAAGCCAAGATTGCCTACAACTTACGGTAGCCACAGGAGGTCAAAAATACGAGAGACACAAGGAGCATCCACGAACCAGGGTAGGTTAAGAGTTAGAATCTCGAAACTTGTCTAAGAAAAGTCATCAAGCCAAGCAGGGAACGATAGGAAAGTAGAACGTTCAATGGGAGTTCTAATAAATGTCAGAGAAAGCAAGTAGAATCTTCGAGGAGGAGTGGCGAAGAGCTACCAACCTGGGTTCGGGTATCAAGCTAGAACCCAACATCGATAAAGATATTGTGATGGTAAAAGAAAGATAAGTCCATATAGTAGAAGGATTACCTCAGTTGAGACTTTGAGTCGTCACGATGAACAAATTTCGAGGTCAAAATTTTTCTTAAGAGGGAGGGAAATGTTATACCCAAACTAGCGCAGTTCCTTTATATATAGGGTTGCATCGTACAGGTGGTTGAGCTACAGTTCAAATTTCGGGGATGAAATTTTTATTAGGGTGGAGAAAATGTAACATCCCGACATTTGAGTCTAAATTCGAGCAAAAATTTGGATCGACTATTACATACGAAGTATTACAACCGTGAATTAGGAACAATAATAATAATAGTATTATTATTATTATTTTATAAAAATTACAAGCCTAACAATTCCCCACATGTCGGTTACCCCCCAACTATTAACACTAGACAAATAAAACCCCCCAACCCATCTCCCGTTACCACCCCTTCCTAATAAATCCCCACTCCCCCCCCCCCCCCCCCCATTGGCAATTAACCCCATCTTTATCCCATCCCCACCAAATGACCCAAAACCCTAGTACGTAGCAGAGCCACAAGAAATAAGAAGGAAGAAAGAAAATAAACAGCGGCAGCAAAACCTTCCACCCTCGATCGAGAGCAACGCTCGAACTCGCCTTCTCTGTCGCGTCTCCACCACCTTGTCCTTTCCTTTCGCCGGCATGCACCCCAACCGTCAAAACCAGCGCTAGCGAAGCCGAACAACAACATCTCCTGTCTCGTCCTATGCCTCGCACGACGGACGCGACGCAAACCCACGATGACCGATTCGGCCATTCTTCAGGTGGTGGGTATTACTGCAAATAGGACGGTCCCAGGATTGTTAGCGTGTCGACGAAATTGAATTCCGACATCGGACGAGGAAGAACCGTGCCTCCGAAGTTTGAGCAAAAATCTGTCAAGTACAGGTACCATTCTTGGGAATTCTAAAAGTTAGAGGATTAAATGTGTAATTTTCTAGAGAGGTCGTGGTCAACTATGCTGACTGGAAAATTTCGGTTTCAGTAACCGGTACTTTTAAACTGACGGAAGGTTTATTTTGGTCATAACTCGATCGATTGACGTCGAGGAACCGTCTACGCCTACGGAATCGTAGAAGCGAGAGAAATATTATAGGAGGGAGTTTTGGAAATTCATATTCGAATCAGTGTCGTCTTTTCGAGGTGAGTGTAAAGGGGGTAAATTCTACGCCTTACGTGTTCTTTCAAGTATTACGAACTTTTAAGGATTTTGATGAAGTGATTTTCTTTGTTTGATTGTGCTTATGATTGATTATATGTACTTTGTTTGAGCTATTTTGGAGTGAATATGTATGCGTTGTTATTTACTTTAAAGCTTTACATTTAGGAGTTATTATTAAAGTTTAAGAAACAAGTTCTCCATTTTTAGAAGTAACTCACCTTTAAGAAGGTGAGGTCATTTTAAGTGTTTTTTAGTCACTAGCGTCAGTCCGTTGCCATTTGAGGTTTTCAGACAGAGCAGCAGTTATGCTCTTGAGAATCGTGGAAGAAGAGCCTTCCACGATAAGTTTAAGTTTAAGGAAAGCCTGGATGGCTTCTCATACGTATGAGTTGGGCAACCGGACTAGCTAGTGAGGGATCCCCGTGTCAGTCAAGTATTTAAGTTAAGGTTTGAGATTTGAGATTGGAGAGTACCAGTAACTCCCATACAGTTTTAAGAGTTAAGATTTTTTTTATAAGAGTGAAAGTACAAACAACTCCCACCAGTTTAAGTTAAGTGTCTGAAGTAAAATACTAAACTACTAGAATTTTAAAAAGTAAGGGTTTAGACTGACCACAACTCACTCACCAGTTTGAAGAGGAAGAGCTAGAGGAGCAGTTAGAGAGAATCGAGTTCGAGAGGAACAGTTCGAGGGCAACCAGTTAGAGGAAGGCGGTGCAAGCATCACAGAGGATGCCCAATCGGGGTTTTCAGTAGCAGCACCAGTATAGAATATTTAGTTATTTTGAATTTTATGATTACGAGTATGGACTGGAGATCAGATTAAAGTTTTTAAGATTTGAGTCGGCCCAAGTGTTAGGGCTTCATCTTTAAGTAAAGATAGTTCCTTTTAGTATTTATTAAAGTTATTTATGAAAAGTTTCCGCTATTTTTTTCCAAGTATTTTGAGTTCTTATTTTATTTCACGGTTTATCAAGGGTATTTTGGTAAAAGTTATACCCGACCGGGTTAGGGTGTTACAACCTTGCTAACTAGATCCCTTAATTTTCCATCATAATAATGTTACAGATCATGAGGTTCTCTAGGAGCATGTGGCATGGTTTGAACGAGTGGTGTATGTTAAGTTTGTAGATATTATGTTAAGTTTTCCTTACATTAAGCACAAATATGAACACAAGTCTGAATAAACACAACACTGTTAAAGCCAAATTCAAGATCAACAGAGCAAATTTTAAAAAATAAACTGACACGACATAACTAGAAAACTGATTGACCATGGTAAGTACAATGCGAGATAAACAAGTCTAAGACAAGCTTGTACCGTATCTGTCCAAGCATGACTCAACGCCAATTATTTATTCCATAAGTCGTGCACCAACATCGTTAACCATGCTTCATTTGCGGGTCGTTTGCTTCGTGGATTTGTAAAATGAAGGTTTTGGTAAAACCAAGGTTTTGAAAATCTATGGATTTATGAGGGTTTTTGGTTCATTATGGACTTTAACAAGACTATTGTTTGCTTCATGGATTTGATGATGGATTATGTTTAATTAGAATTGTAGGTATGAAGGAAAAGTACATTATTGCCCTTAGTAGTCAATATTTATTATTTAAAGTTTTTCCCATATATTAATTGCAAAGCCACAAGCATGTTTGCTTCTGGCACAGATCGAGAAATCACCTTTCCCTCTCATTCTCTTTCTCCCACGACCTCACCTTGAGTAGACACAGGTCGAGAAGGCTTTCCGACTTCAGTCGACAACTCATTTATGTATGCCGGCAAACTTGTATTTCTTTGCTCCTTGCTGTCGACTGACTCCAACAGCTACAACATCATTCATGTTAGATTTTTTAGATGATGCATCATTCATGTTAGATATGCAGCCCAACTGTTCATTTGTTTGGATTTTTGGTTTGTGCCCTATTGGATTGATTTGAAATGAGATACATCATTTTTCTATGTAGGTGTAGTAGATTTATCCCAACATTCAACCCCTATCCCCATGTTTTTGTTAAATTTTTAGCAATTAGCACATGATAAACTCTCATGGCAAGAAGGTGGCAGGGGTAGAAAGGGGTTGATGAATTCTTTTATGAGAATGAAATGGTATTATGCGATTGCGGGCTAAGAGCTTCTCGATATTAGAGTTGCGTTATACGAGGAGAGAAAAAGACTTGACGATATGTTTGCGAAGTTGTAGCTTGAGAATGCAGAGCTTCCTGCTACAATAGACAGAGTCTCCAGGCTCAAATGGCCCTAGATTGTTCCAGTTAGATTTGCAGGTGGTTGCTTAGTGTTGTAATCTTGTGCAGAATTATGTAATTAGCTTAGCAGACTTTTTACTACTGCAATTTTGTGGTCCAAACAGCATGTGGCAACAGGACTAGTTAGTGTTGTGCAGACTTGTGTAATGAACCCAACAAACTTGTTTAGAGTGTTGTTGTGACTAGAAGACTTGTGTAAAGCTGTAATATTGTTTTGTGAATGAATCCAGAAGTAATTAAGGGTCAAAACCTTGACCACCTAAGAACTTATCTTGCTGACAAACTGCAAATGATATCTGCAGAAGTTTGAAACATCACTACAACAAATGTTATGTTGTTATGTTTGAACTCATCATGCTGCAATTTTTCATTGAATGCTACAATTCATCAAATGCAAGTGTTGTACCTTCAGAACATACCAAATACTAACCGAATCCAGAATATATATATATATATATATACATTAAGATTACAGGCTTTCCAACAGAGTTTAAGACACTGAACATTGCCTGATACCGACAATACTAGTGGACACACATCATAATGGCTGGGAAACTTTCAAAAACAACATACTTCATCTTCCTACTTACAACTTTACATGCTAACTCCTATGTTAGCACAAAATATGCAAGTTTCCTAGCCGTACTACATGTGTTATAGACAGAATGACAACATTACGTACATACACCCTTCTGTTATCCTTTGTACAACCTTCAAGATCAACGAAGCAAGTTCTGGATGAAGTACTTTCGATCCTCCTCATTTTCGAGAGCGAAGAAGAGTCTTGTTTTTCTATCATTCTCAACCAAGACCATAGCAGCATCAAGGACTTGGCCGCGTTCCAGACCTGCAATTTTCCCAATTTCTAACATCAATGCGGCTTCTTTAACAGTATATTCCTCATGTTCACCTAAAATTTTGCCAAGAGCATCCAGTGCCTTGGAAATCACAGGCTTCAACCCACATAACTCCTCGGCTACAGCAGCAATAGCATCATCAGATTTATTCTCCTTCTTAATCTTTTTCTTCAAGACAGAGTTGTTGCCCCTTGTGTTGGTTGAACAGCTGGTTGTGACACAACACAATGGACTCCTATTTGGGACAACTCAACCCCCTCATTGATCATATCTTCCATGAACCTCTCAGCATTCAGTCCTTCTGCCTCGTACTGTGTCTAATTCCTTCCAAATCCACGAAGGCAGCTTCATCAACCACGGGTGAGTGAAAATCATCAGTTAGACCTTGTGTCTTCCTTCCATTTACAGGACCAAATTTCCCAAAAACCTTTAGCAATTCATCATAATGAGGGAATAACTTTTTGTTAAGATTCTTACAATTCGGATGCACCTGCAAACACATCATAACAGCAAACACAAATTCTCAACAAATCTAACCTTAATAAAAGCAACAGGTCGACACATCACAAAGCAAAGAAAAATTCAAGTATAATTAACCTTAACAAAATTTGCAAACACATCATCATCTAGTGTTGGGGTACTTGTTGCAACTTTCCACCTACAATTGCTCTGATTACGCAGTAAGTGTATGTATTGCCTGAAAGTCCTTCTTCAGCTTCTTGTGTCTGGAGCGAATGGTTGGGTCAACCTTCACTCCGCATCCTGGAGCCTTCTCTTCAATCATCCTCTCCAGCTCATCAAACGAACCATTCTTAAAGGAACCATGATGCACCTGATGCCATTGCATCAGTTCCACCATGCATTGTATGAGTAAAGAGTTCAAGGCTTCGGTCCACATGAAGTTAGGCCCTGCAGGCTGCACCTCTTCTCCCTCATTCATCACCTATTGATTCCTCTTCTTTGTCATTCTACAAATGCAAATCAGAATCACAAAGTTTGACATAAACAAAAAAAAAAATCAGAATCAGCATGGCCAAACAAAAGGGTAAGCAGTACTAGAAGCTTAGTTAAGGGATACCACAATCATATAGAGAACAAAGTTTCATCATTACATAATAAGTGACCATTATGCTGGTTCAATACAAAGATAACAACAAATCCAGGCATTTTTCATCTGGTAAGTTCTTATAAACCAAAACAGTACAAAGAAAATGCAGCAGTAGACATATAGAAATTTGTTCTCACAAACAACATTTTATATCACGTGTTGGTTCATCTATTGCCTCTATTTTCCCACATGTCTACTGCTTTTAAACTCCTGAACTGAGTCCAACCTTGGGAAGGATTAACTCCCGATATAAGTTCATTTTCTTCTATAATCTTTATCTCTATAATCCCTTTCAAATGTGTCAACCCCTTTCTCTAGTTTTATAAAATTATGCAGCAAGCAACATGCATTCACCAGTTGGGTAACAACTTCGAGAGAGAACCAATTGGTTTCATGTAGAATGGCCCATCGCATTTTCAAGATACCAAATATCCTCTCTATAACATTTCTTGCAGTTGCATGCTTCATATTGAAGTACTCCTCGGGTGTCAATGGCCTATAACCTCCTTCCAATTCTTTCAAATGATATCTTTGACCTCGGAATTAAGCTAAAAAGCCTTGACAATTGTTATACCCAGCATCAACCAAGTAATAGTTTCCTATAACATAGAAATCAAATTGGGTAAGAGCTAATTGATTGATTGAAATTCTCTTTATGTTTACTAGGGAATCACTGAGTCGAAGATACCTTTCAGAACTCGTAGCCCATTTGACCTAGCCAATGCATCTCTAAGAACTTATCTTGCTGCCAAACTGCAAATGATATCTGCAAAAGTTTGAAACATCACTACAACAAATGTTATGTTGTTATGTTTGAACTCATCATGCTGCAATTTTACCTTGAATGCTACAATTCATCAAATGCAAGTGTTGTACCTTCAGAACATACCAAATACTAACCGAATCCAAAATATATATATATATACATATTAAGATTACAGGCTTTCCAACAGAGTTTAAGACATTGAACATTGCCTGATATCGAAAATACTAGTGGACACACATCAGAATGGCTGGGAAACTTTCAAAAAAAACATACTTCATCTTCCTAGTTACAACTTTGCATGCTAACTCCTATGTTAACACAAAATATGCAAGTTTCCTAGCTGTACTACATGTGTTATAGACAGAATGACAACATTACGTACATACACCCTCCTTTTATCCTTTGTACAACCTTCAAGATCAACGAAGCAAGTTCTGGATGAAGTACTTTCGATCCTCCTCATTTTCGAGAGCGAAGAAGAGTCTTGTTTTTCTATCATTCTCAACCAAGACCATAACAACATCAAGGACTTGGCCGCGTTCTAGACCTGGAATTTTCCCAATTTCTAACATCAATGTAGCCTCTTTAACAGTATATTCCTCATGTTCACCTAAAATTGTGCCTAGAGCATCCAGTGCCTTGGAAATCACAGGCTTCAACCCACATAACTCCTCGGCTACAACAGCAATAGCATCATCATATTTATTCTCTTTCTTAATCTTTTTCATCGAGACAGAATTGTTGCCCCTTGTCTTGGTTGAACATCTGGTTGTGACACAACACAATGGACTCCTCTTTGGGGAAACTCAACCCCCTCATTGATCATATCTTCCATGAACCTCTCAGCATTCAGTCCTTCTGCCTCGTACTGTGTCTGAATTCATTTCAAATCCACGAAGGCAACTCCATCAACCACGGGTGAGTGAACATCATCAGTTAGACCTTGTGTCTTCTTCCATTTGCAGGACCAAATTTCCCAAAAACCTTTAGCAATTCATCATAATGAGGGAACAACTTTTTGTTAAGATTCTTACAATTTGGATGCACCTGCAAACACATCATAACAGCAAACACAAATTCTCAATAGATCTAACCTTAATAAAAGCAACAGGTCGACACATCACAAAGCAAAGAAAAATTCAAGTATAATTAACCTTAACAAAATTTGCAAGCACATCATCATCTAGTGTTGGCGTACTTGTTGCAACTTTCCACCCACAACTGCTCTGATTACGCGGTAAGTGTACTGCATGAAAGTCCTTCTTCAGCTTCTTGTGTCTGGAGCGAATGGCTGGGTCAACCTTCACTCCGCATCCTGGAGCCTTCTCTTCAATCATCCTCTCCAGCTCATTAAATGAACCATTCTTAAAGGAACCATTGTGCACCTGATGCCTTTGCGTCAGTTCCACCATGCATTGTATGAGTAAAGAGTTCAAGGCTTCGGTCCACATGAAGTTAGGCCCTGCAGGCTGCACCTCTTCTCCCTCATTCATCACCTGTTGATTCCTCTTCTTTGTCATTCTACAAATGCAAATAAGAATCACAAAGTTTGACATAAACAAAAAAATAAAAATCAGAATCAGCATGGCCAAACAAAAGGGTAAGCAGTACTAGAAGCTTAGTTAAGGGATACCACAATCATATAGAGAACAAAGTTTCTTCATTACATAATAGGTGACCATTATGCTGGTTCAATACAAAGATAACAACAAATCCAGGCATTTATCATCTGGTAAGTTCTTATAAACTAAAACAGTACAAAGAAAGTGCAGTAGTAGACATATAGAAATTTTTTCTCACAAACAACATTTTATATCACGTGTTGGTTCATCTATTGCATCTACTTTCCCACATGTCTACTACTTTTAAACTCCTGAACTGAGTCCAATCTTGGGAAGGATTAACTCCCAATATAAGTTCATTTTCTTCTATAATCTTTGTCTCTATAATCCCTTTCAAATGTGTCAACCCCTTGCTCTAGTTTATAAAATTATGCAGCAAGCAACATGCATTCACCAGTTGGGTAACAACTTCGGGAGAGAACCAAATATCCTCTCTATAACATTTCTTGCAATTGCATGCTTCATATTGAAGTACTCCTTGGGTGTCAATGGCCTATTACCTCCTCCTCATTCTTTCAAATGATACCTTTGACCTCGGAATGGAGCTAAAAAGCCTTCACAATTGCTATACCCAGCATCAACCAAGTAATAGTTTCCTATAACATAGAAATCAAATTGGGTAAGAGCTAATCGATAGATTGAAATTCTGTTTATGTTTACTAGGGAATCACTAAGTCGAAGATACCTTTCAGAACTCGTAGCCCATTCGGCCTAGCCAATGCATCTATAAGAACCTTTCCATCATGGGCTAAACCCTCCCAACTCGCTAAACAATATAAAAACTCGAGGTGTGGGTTGCACACACCGAGAACATTCATTGTGATGTGTCCTTCTCGATCATGATACCTAGGCTGATCTTCTATCCTAACACGCAGCTTCACATGTGTTCCGTCTAGTGCCCCTAAGCAACCCTATAAAAAAACCTTCTTAATATTAGAGTTCACTCTAGATAACTTTTGTAATTTAAAAGAAGACAAAGCTACAATAAATTGTCACCTTGAAATTTTTCCATTTAGCATATGTACAGTTTTCAGGTATAGCTTTTGGTTGGAGGAGTAAAAGAGGATGAAATCGGAGAATTGCACAAAGTACCCTATGGATCACTTTAGAAATTGTTTGGCCTGACCGCCAAAAGTCTACTAGGAGTGTTCTGTTCTTCTTGTTGTGTCCAATTGTAACTAGAAACATCATGACCATTTCATCTATAGCTACTTCATCGGAACACCTTAACCCTCCCTCATCGACAAGTAATTGACACAACCTCCTAAACATTCTACGGTCCATCCGAATACTATCAATGCAACGAGTATCTGATAGGTCAAGTACACGTCTCATGTAGCGCATTCTATCATGTTGTTGGTCAAATATAGTATCCAAAGGGGTGTTTCGGGGTCTGGACTCTAATTTTTTCAAAATCAGCAGCTCTAGGAATCGTATTAGCAAAGATACATAAACAAGCAACAAGGTTAAAACTATTTTAATGGCCTTCACAATATTCAACTTCTGCATCTTATTCGATATCCTCCTCAAACGAGCCATGGCCTTTGGTTGAACAAAAAATAAAAGACTCATTTAGAGAACAAAATGACAATACAACACAGGGGAAGAGATCTAACACAGTGACACTTTCTAGCTGCATCTTTCCAACTCCATTTTCCAAACAATACAAAACACAGTGACCGAGAAAGAATTGGAAGATTGAAATAATTAAAGTGACTCATGAAAGCATAATAGATACCAGCAAATTCAGAGAACAAAATAACAATACAACATAGGAAGAGATCTAACACCATAACATTATATGGTTGCAGAGGCACAATCTAGTACACATAAAAAGAAAGTAGAAGAAAAGGAAGAAAGTAACAGAAGATAAAAGAGGCACTCTAATACATAATTAGACACAAATCATTCGCTTTCCCTACAGTCTAGGATTCTGCAAGAGAGGGCATCAATATAATCGAAAGAATGGAGGAAGCTAACCTTGCTGCAGAAAAGTTCTCCACTCGCGAGGCAATGTCGGCGGCAAAGGCTTTTCTGTGCTGTTGCTGCAGAGCTTCGAAATTGCTTTTCTCAGCCCAAGACCTAACAAAAGTATTCTTTTGATTGCTTCTTCTTTCTTCCCGTGATTTTATCCCTTCAATTCGCGCCTCTTCTTTTCATTTACGCGGTTCTTTTTTGCAAAGAGGACAAACGAAAGTAAGGGCAGCCTGGTCATTATTTGATGGATTAAAGTCCATGATCCATTTTCCCACCTCTAGGTCTAGGAGTTTGAAGTCCATGGAGCCCACAAATTTGGAGCCCCAAAAATCCATGGACCCCATGGATTTACTAGCCCATATCCATCAAACAAACAACTCACTTTCATCAAAGTCCACAACCAACCCAAGTCCATCCTCAAATCCATCCCCAATACCATCAAGCAAACAACGTCTTGATCTTTCATCCACGTGGGAATTAATTAATTATTTAATTCGTTTACATACCATTTGGTATAAATGAATTTCATAAGTTTGACAAATTCATTTTAAAATAAAACCTTTTTGTGTTTGGTATTTAAAAGAATTAATTTTGAATTCAACATAATTGAAACTGGTATTATTTTTTTTATTAACTAAATTACTTCTACATATGCTATTTGGTGCCACTTCCTTCTTCGTTCTGCTAATTGCTCTACCAGCATGCAACCCACCTAGTTTGTTGTGTTTTTTTTTTTAACATATCTGGCTTTGTTGCAAGGCATCTTCCAACTGGAAGAGAACTTCAAGTGAAATATATATAGTTGACCAGAAACCTTGATAATAGAGATATGGTTTGAAATTCAATTCATTTTATTTTTAAATTTGAATATAACATATCAAACATAGTAATTCATTTGATAATAAATTCTATACAGTAATTCGTTCTAAAATGAAATGAATTCTCTTGCCTCTTGTCTTTTCCACGTCAAGCTATAGATCTTATCTATGTCGACTGATTTTGTATATATATAGTCTTAAATATTGATTTTTTTCCGGTCTCTTCACAAACAAATTTCTGCGTCAGCACTCAGCAATCTTATCTAACCAGCTACAAATATAATAATAATAATAATAATAATAATAGTAATAGTAAAGAAAGCTAATCACCTTAATTATTAAGGTTGGTAATGATCATATTATGCTACCCGTCCACCAATAACATTAACATCAATAACCAATTAAATAAAACATAAAGGGGTCGTTTGGATTAGGGAATGTATAAATGAGGGATTTGAATTAAAATCTCTCAATTAAAAACCCAGGTATTTTAAACGTGGGATTTGGATCAAATAACTTGTTTGGTAATCGATGAAGGATTTTCATTAAAAAATTAAAATTACAACTATATCCATCCCTAACCCACCTCCTGCACATCTGGTTCTTCTTCTTTCTTTGGAATAAAGCCCACGCCAAAGATCCTGCTGTTGCGACTACATATCCACCCGGAAACAAATTCCTCTCATCACCGGCCGGTGAGACCCCAATTCAAATAAAAATAGTCCACTTTAACGTCAGTCAAAGTGTCTTGCTGTCATGAAGTTTCGTTGCCGATGTGGCCGAGGAAAGCCGTGACCTCAAGCTGGCTCATGTTCTTCCCGCCGGTGGTTCCGAACCCTAGTAGCTGGTAGACGACGGCGGCTGTGATGAACGAGTGGTAGTCCCAGAACCCGGAGCTAGGGGCTGATGACCTCAACATCTGATTTCCGCTATCTTTTTCCAGAAAACAACAATAACCGATCAGAGCTAGGGGCTGATGAAACCCAAATCTGGGCTTTGCCATAGACGGGACCTCGCCCTTGCCTTTCCGGACGATTTATCTGCTCCATGGAAGAACCACCTTCCAATTGCTGGCACCAGTTCTTCGACGACGATGACAACAAGCTTTGACGGTAGCAACAAGTTTCGACGGCAGCAACAAGCTTCTTGATTGAGAGTGGGTGTCCATACGAGATGGATTAATGAAGAAAGGAAGAACAAAGGAAGGGGCAAGATTTGGAATAGAGTGAGAAAAAAGGAGTGATTGTGAAATAGCTGATCCCTATCAGCTATTTTGAAAACCCTCATGTGAGAGATTTAGAATTTCCTCGTGCCCACAATCTCTCATCTTCCCAAACGCAGAATTGTTTTAAAATCCTGCAGAATGAGGAATTGTTTTAAAATCTCTCATAAATCCCTCGTCACATTCACTAATCCAAACGACCCAAAATTGAATCTATTCTGGTAAACGTGGTCATGTCCATTTCCATGACATGACACGTTGTTAGTTCTCCATTGACGACCGATGTAAATTAGGGGGTCGTTTTTTCTATCTAGGCACCATTTAAGAGTCAATTTGTAAGATAATTTGATTAAGTTGTCACTATTTGGTTGGATCCAAATTAAATGGACTTATGTGCACTTTTAATACTTTCGCGTTGGGTGTGAATTTGGACAATAATTGGTCTATTTGGCTTCGACTTAAATGAGTTTATTTGAGTATAAATGATTGTACACACAGAAAGACAATATCAACTATCTAATTAGCTATTTTCAACCCGATTGCATCTTTAATGTTGGAGTTCCCACCTTCTGTTTGTGTTATGAAAAAATTAGACAAAACAACATTAAAATTGGATCTCTATTTTCTTTTGAGTACCCAATTCTATGAGTCGAATTTCAACCAAAACAAAAAATTAAAATCACCCAAATCTAATTTAACCAATAACAAGTCTTTTTTTGCCATTTCTACATGGATTCCAAAAAACAAAGCAGGGAAATACATGGGAAGAGAATGATATAAAATTTATTTTTGACGTTCTTAAAGATCTACTTTATTGTGATTATCAACTAGTTCTGTACTCGATATAAAAAATT